TTTTAATGAATGGAAGTTTTTTAACTAGTCAAATTTATCAATCTTTGTGGTTAGTGCTTTTTATGCTCTCTTTAAGAAACCTTCCCTGTTATCCTATGCTGCCTTCTAAAAGATTTAATGCTTTGTCTTATACTTTAACCATCTCTCTGGAATTGCTTCTTGTTAGGGTTTTTCTGCTTACTCTTTCTTGTTTACACCTTCAAATTAATTTTATAATTAAGCTTGTTTTATTCCAGAAAAAAAAATCCTGACAATATTTTTATTAGGATCACGTTGAACATATACATTAGCCTAGGGAGAGTTGATATTTTTATGATGCTGAATTCTTTTATCCAAGAATATAGCACGTCTTTTCCTTTCCTTAAATCTATTTTAGTCTCTCAAGATTGGTTTGAGACTAGCTTGTTGGTTTTTTTTTTTTTATCTTTAGGTTTTTGCACAATTCTTGTAAAATTGATGCTTAGGTATTTTATTTTTGCAATAGTAAATAGGGTGTTCTTTTTCCATTATTCTTGAGCACTGTTTTATATATATGACTTCTACATTTTGTGTTATAACCTGTTTTCTAACTCTCTGTTTGTAGTGGTTTTTCCATTATATTTTAGGCTTTCTGAGATATAATTATATCATCTGTTAATGGAGATAATTGTACCTCATTTTTTCCACTTATGCTCCAAATTGCTTTCTCTTTCTGGGTATGTTAGAGTTCCTCTATCTTATTTAGATGTTGATAGTTTAAATGCCGTTTTCAATGTGACTGTACCATTTTGCATCACCAGAAGCAATGTCTGAGGTTTCAGTTGTTCTACATTGTTAAAACTTGGTGTTGTTAATCTTTTTTAATTTGAATATTTCTAGGGTGTGTAGTGATACCTTACTGTGGGTTTAATTTTTATTTACCTATTAACCAGTGATCTAAGCATCTTTTGCTGTGCTCTTCTTTCCCTTTCTTCTTCCTCTTTTCTTCCTGATGTGGTTAATTGCCATTTGTATATATTGTTTGGTCTTCAGAAATTTCAGGATATAAGCCCTTTGTCTGATATGTATGATGTGAACATTTTCTTCCAATCTCTCGTTTACATTATCATGTTCTTAATGATATCTTTTGAGGAGCAAAAGTTTAAATTTTTATGAATTTAGGTTTATCAATGATCTCTTTTATAGTTCATCGTTTTGGGTCCTAATGTAACTGTCACACAGATTTTCTTTTAGTATTTTAAAAGTTTGATAGTTTTACCTCTTACGTTTATATCTATGGTAGAAATAAATCATTATGGATTAGTTTGTTAGTATGACGTCCATTTTATTCATACCAATATCCAATTGATATAATACCATTTGTCAAAAAACTTTTCATTGAGTTGCCTTGATATCTTTGTTGATAATCAATTGGTCATTTGTGGCCCATTTCTGTACTCTCCATTCTGTTCCCCTGCTCTTTTTTGCTGTTCATATTCTTGATACTGTAGCTTTACCATAAGTCTTGAAATGTGTTGGACAAGTCCTTCAGCTTTGTTTATTTTCAAAATTGTTTTGGCTATTCTAAGTTCTTTCATTTCAAAATAAATTTAATGACTAGTTTGTCAGTTTCCACAATAAAGTCGGATGGAGTTTTGATTGGGATTGTGTCACATCTATAGATCAATTTTGGGAGAATTGACATCTTAAGAAATTACTATTTGTCAATTATAGCTAAATAAAGCTGAAGGAAAAAAAATTGTCTCCCAGTTTCAGAACATGCATGTTATACCTCTCTGTATTCTTCAGTTTCTCTCAGTAATATTTTGTAGTTTTTATACAGAGATTTCTCTTTGGTAGATAACATTTCTCTTTAGATTGACTTTAGATTGAATTTAGAATTGAAGTTAGATTGAATTCCCTAATTTCCTTTAGCATTTCTTCTAGAGTATGTCTGTTGGCAACAAATTCTTAGTTTTCTTATATGAAAATGTCCTTTTTTTGGCTGATTATAGAATTCTGAATCAACTGTTCTTTTATTTCAGCACTTTAAATATATGTTCTTTCCCTGTTTCTGGCCTTGGTGATTTCTGAAGAGAAATCTATTATTATTTAAATCCTTATTCTTGTGTGTAATGGTGTAGTTTTTCTTTTGTTGTTTTCAAGATATTTTTCCCCTTTACATTTCAGCACTTTATGATGTGCCTAAGTGTTTTGTTTTGTTTTGTTTTGTTTTTTAGTTTATTTCATTTGGGGTTCACTGAGCCTGTTGAAAATGTAAATTTATTATGCCTTTAGTAAATTTGTGAAATGTTGACCATTATTACTTTAAATACCTTTTCTGCTCATGTCTCTTTCTTCTCTCCTTATAGGTTTACAATTACACAACTTAATTTTTTTTATCTTTCTCATAGTTCCTCGCACTTAACTTTTTTCCATCTTTTTTTCTGTTTTCAGATTGGATAATTTCTGTTGAGCTATTTTCAAGTTCACTCATTCTCTGTTTTATGAAGCCTGTATAGGGAAGGCTTTTTATTTCATTTTTTTTTAACTTTCAGATACTGTGTTTTTCAATGATAAAATTTCTATTTGGTCCCTTTATAGTTTTTACTTCTGTGTTAAGAATTCCTAGTTTTTCATTCACTTTAAATATGTTTTCTTTTACTTCATTGGACACAGACATAATAGTTGCTTTAAACTTTGAAAACTCTTTGTGATAGCTCCAGCATTAACATCTATAGATTTTTTTTTCTTGCAAGTTAGTCCATTTTCTTGGTTAATACAAGATATTAATACAACTTATGGTTTTTCTTCATTTTTCTGTTTGAGATTCATTGAGCTTGTAGGTTTTAATGGGGTTTTAGTTTTCATTGAATAGGAAAATTTTGGTCATTAAAAAAATTTTTTTTATTATGCCCCCTTCCTCTCTCCTTTTCTGGGACTTCAGATACAGTTGGGTTAGATACAACTTAACATGCTCAGTATATTTCTGTTTTAGTCTTCTTTCTCCCTATTTAGTTTTGTAGAGTTTTATTGCTGTGTTTATGTCTGCTGATCTTTTCTGCAGTATTAACTAAGCTGTTAATCTCATGCAGTATATTTTTCATTTCAGATGTAGTTTTTGGTCTAAAGTTCAGTTTAGGTCATTTTTGTATCTTCTGTTTCTCTCATTGTACTCATGTGTTTTCTCTTACCTTCTTGGACCTGCACAATATATTTAATTAATTTTACCACTGGCACCATTGCTGGCACCATTGTCAGTTTCTATTGATTTTTATTCCTGGTTGTAGTTGATACTTCCCTTTTATTTTATTTTATTTAAAAAAAAAAATTTTTTTTTTTAATGTTTATTTATTTTTGAGACAGAGACAGAGCATGAACGGGGGGTGGTCAGAGAGAGGGAGACACAGAATCTGAAATAGGCTCCAGGCTCTGAGCTGTCAGCACAGAGCCCGACTCGGGGCTTGAACTCACGGACTGCGAGATCATGACCTGAGCCGAAGTCGGCCGCTTAACCGACTGAGCCACCCAGGCGCCCCACTTTCTTCCGTTTTATATTTTCTTTGCTTATTTGCAGGCCTGGTAAGTTTTGATTAGATGCTGGACATTTTGAATTTTATATTTTAGATGTTAGATTTTGTTGTATTTTTAAAAAATATTGCTCTTTTTTGTGACACACTTAAGCTTCCTGGGATTCTTTCAAGGTCATTTATTTATTTATTTATTTACTTACTTACTGGGTGGTCTTAGGAAAATATTTCTTTTTTTTCTAATTTAAATTTTCAGTTAGTTAACATATAGTACAATATTGGTTTGGTTTCAGGAGTAGACTTCAGGGATTCATCACTTACATACAACACCCAGTGCTCATCACAAGTGCCCTCCTTAATACCCATCACCCATCTAGCTCATCTCCCACCCACCTCCCTCCATCAACCCTGTTTGTTCTCTGTCGTTAAGAGTCTCTTGTGGTTTGTTTCCCTCTCTTTTCTTTTTCCCCCCATTTTCCCATATGTTCATCTGGCCCCATTACTGAGGCAATATTTGATATTCTATGAATTAGGAGATCTTTTCACTATAGTTCCTTGGAACCCACAGTATTTCCAGCCTTATTCTTTTTCTGCAATTCTTTCCCTGGACTTGCAGTAATTTTCTCACATGTATACACAGATCTCCAGTGCTCTCTTTCTGTGTAGCTTCCTTTCCCATAGTATTTCCCTCCTTAAATTCTAGCCATTTTGACCTTCCCAAACTGAACTCTGCAACTTGGTGAGATTGCTAAGCTGTCTTTGGCCTTTCTCTCCCCGTGCCGCAGGCTGGAAACTTCCCAGGGAGATAGCGGCAGCAATCATAGGGCTCACCTTGTTTGTTTTTCTTTTTTCAGGGATCATTATGGTGTGCTGCCTGCTGTCTAGTGATTGAAAGCCATCCCTTAACATATTTTATTTGGTTTTCCAGTTTTTTTACGGCAGGAAGATAAATCTGGCATTTTTAATCCATTACGGCAAGGAGCAGAAATTCTCCAGTTTTGAAATTTATTGAAACTAAAGTTGGGATTAAATTAGCATGGCTTTTATTTTTTTTATTTTCCCCCCTAATTGCTCAGATATCCATTCAGACTGGTGTTTTAGTAAAAGAGATACAGAAATTGTTAGTTAGGATGACTAGTATTTTACTTTTCACTTCCTCCTTTATTTTCATGTTGTTTCTCTTAGAGTCATAAAGGGCATGTGTGTACAGCACACAACTTACCAAAAACCAAAAAAGCATGCCATATTGAAGTTCACCTGGTTTAACTCCTTTCAGTGAGGCAGATGGTCTAAGCATAATAATGGCCTTCTTATGAATAAACTCACTTCTATATATGGGGACATAGCAAAGGTGACAAAGCTTATAGATGACAAAGCTTAAAACTGCTTTTGAAACACCAGTATATAGTTGTGTAAGTCACAAAACTCTTCACAACTGCAATCACTTTCAAGAAATAACCATGCTTGATTTGTTACTCGATTTCGTATTCAACATGATGATTTCTCCTTTAGCATTGTACAGCAAGAAGACCCAAATGAAGAGCTTCCCAGAGACGAGGTCGTCCTGAAGCTGAAAGCACAAGTGCAGCGTTTGCTGGGGAGCAACTCAGTGAAGCGTCATCTGGTGTCTCAGTTACAAACTGAGCTCAGAGACTGTCATAAGAAAATTGAAGATCTCCAACAAGTGGACAAAGATGAAAAAAGCATCAAGGTTGAGGTTTGTGGAGTTAAAAAGCCATTTTTAAAAGACTTTAATGAAGAAAATGCTTACAGTCTTCACATTTAAATCAAGCCTTTGTCTTTCAAGGTCTCATTTGATTTTATTTAGAAGTAAAGTGTAAAGAAGGGAATGCCACATAAAGAAATATATTTTCTAGTTCCTTTTGCAAAACACCTCATAAATGAGATGTTAGGCAAAATTCCTTTACCACAAATCCAAGGAAGCAGTCTACGTAACAAAGTATGTGCATTTCCTCAAGATTGGCTTGTATCAGCAGTGTTCTAAAGCCTTAAATTCTCCACAGCTAAATAAATCCCTTAGCATTTTGTTTATGACATTTCTCTTGCCCATGTTCCTATAATAAGAGTCTTTCTATATAAGGAAATTAATTATATAGTGGTGGCGTTGTAAGTGAGAAAGGCACAGAAACAGGTTATGTCAGAATCATTGAATCTACTTTTATTTATATTTTTTATTATTTAAAAAAAAATTTTTAGTGTTTTATTTATTTTTGAGAGAGAGAAAGAGTGGGAGCGGGGGAAAGGGAGAGAGAGAGACACAGAATCGGAAGCAGGCTCAAAGCTGTCGTCACAGAGCCCGATGCAGGGCCCAAACCCAAGAACCGTGAGATCATGACCTGAGCCAAAGTCCGTCATCCAAGTGGCTGAGCCACCCAGATACCCCTGAATCTACTTTTATATGCTTCATTTGGCTTCCTTACTTCATAGATGAGGAAGATGAAACTGGAGGAATGTGACTTCATAGATGAGGAAAATGAAGCTGGGGGAATGTGTGACATTTCTGAGGTTAGAGTCCATCTTTAGGCAAATTGAAACTAAAACACTTGACTAATAATAGTCAAGATTATTTCCCCAAGATCTTGCTATCACAGAAATTCTTACTCTTGCCCTCATTTAACAGCTTCCTTTTCTATTCTTCCATATTTCCAAATCCCAACCATCTATGCTCTCAATAGAAAAACAAAAAACAAAAACAAAAAACCTAGTAATGAAAGGGAAGGGGGAAAATGAATGTAGGTGGTGTATTCCTTTTCCTTCTGGAAGGAAATAATATTTTACTTCCTACTTTAGTACTGTTTTAGCTCCTGATTCTTTAAACTAGGAGTTGTGTTCACTAAAATAGTCCTATTAAGGTATGTAAGATGTTATATGGTACTAATTATTATGGAATTTTGATTGTATATATTTACCAAAAAATAATAATGTGTTTTCACTGTTTAAATCCTGCCCAGTTGGGCAATATTCCTTCTTCCGAGTAACTGTATTTGATGAGCATAACGCTGATTTCAGTGTTAACAACCAAATGAGAAAGAACCCCCAACCTCCAGCACATTGAATATCTTTATGTCAAGCTGTCTTGTTTACCCGTTTTTTTAAAAGGATGAGAATAAATGCGCATGTTTCAATTTGTGTTAGATTAGAATCGATTGGTTCAAGTATTTTGGTGAGAGTAGCCTAGGATTTAGGAACGTGGTTTTGAGTCTTGAACTTTAGCTCAGGTATCCACGGTTCTTGCTCTGTTCTGTACTGAAATTACTGATGGCATTTGCCATAGAGCTACACTTCCACATATGTGGCAGTTGATGGTGGCCATGCCTTATGTTTAACAAAATTTAATATATACCTTTGCCTCTATAGATCAAAGGGAACGATCTCATTGTTGAATACTCTTTTTATCCAGCTATTCTTGCCATAGTGATTTCTCAGCCGTCCATGTTTGGTTTTTCTTAAAAGTGTGGCTTACCAGCCTGTGCTGCTTGTCTGTCCTGCTTGCACTTACTATATTCGAATTTCTTGAGACTCTTGTCTGGATGATTCTCTGCATGTTTGCTCAATAAATATTTGTTGAATCAATATACCTATTAATCCTTTTCTAGATGGAGGAAAGGGAGAGGAAGTAGTAATTTAACCAACAAGTGTTTTCATTTTTTTATTTTTTTAAATTAAAAAAAATTTTTTTTTTTTTTGCATTTATTTTTGATAGAGAGAGGCAGAGCACAAGTGGGGAAGGGGCAGAGAGAGAAGGAGACACACAATCCGAAGCAGGCTCCAGGCTCCGAGCTGTCAGCCCAGAGCCCGACGCGGGGCTC